ACCACCTTCTACTGCAATCGTCGCTTTTACCTCCAGTGCTTTGTCACACCAGTCAGTGTCACCCTGAGCACAGACACTGGCCAGGACTCATTCCAATGTAATCAAAATGAGTGGAGACTCGGCGTTTGGGGTGGGGTCAGCTGTCGACCTTCGCTCAGTTCACATGACCTAGCTCGCCACTAGCTGCAGGAAACATCCCGTCATGAGATGGTCTCCCCCCAGCTGGCACTGTCCAGTTCCTCTCTTTCCAGTTCAGCCCCCTATATTCTGCCACCCGGAGGTCAGGTGTAAGTGGGTGGCAGACAGAGACTGTTCCATCCGGATGCCCTGTGAACAAGGGGCACTCACGCGCTACCTAGGGTTGCCTCATAACCTCTGCGTGTAGCCTGGAGAAGCCCAGCGCTGCCCCCACTCAAGCAAGTGAGTACACTGAGCAGAGGCAAGGCCCAGCCAGTCAGCTGTCTTTAATGTGTGTCACCTTCCCAGTGGGTGCATCCTGGACCACTTGGCTCTTTGCATCTTGTATTTCTCGATCTCCATGAGTATTCAGACACGTTTTGTCCATGGCTGATGCCTCTCTCTGAGCTAAGCACCTTCAGTTTCATGAGTGGACGTGTCAAGATACTAAACATTAGCTCCCTCTGTACCACCCTGTGCTCTGAACTCTCTGGGGACACCCTCCCTTCCCATCAGGTGGTGCTTGGGTGACCCTTCCTCCCAGCTGTCTTGTGTGGAGTGCCAGACTAGGTGTCGGTGGGTATTTGTTTCTGAAAGGCCTCAGTGTAACCAGCACAGGCTTTACCGGACTTAAACTTAGCTTCCTTCGTTGTCCTCTGTAAATGAGCATGTTTGAGGTCCCTTCCTTCTCCAGGAGGCTCCTCTTCAGGCCATTCTTCTAGGCAGGTGACAGACAAATTCACCACGCTGTAAATTGTGAGGATAGTGAACCTTAGCATTTCTGCCCAAACACAGATTGACTGGAAAAACACATTAGAACGAACAGTCACCAAAGATCGACAACGCTGAATTGAAAAGACTCGGGTGCTCAGAGGCTGCCAGATGCTGGTTGTTTGATAAGTGAGACCCGGCTTTCCTGGTAGGGTTGTTTTGTTTTATTTATTTATTGCAAAATGCACCCTTTAACAGCACTTAGGGATTTTCTGTGCTAAAGCTTCTTTTAGAAAAACTTATGTCTATAATGAGAGAAAAACAGAAAGTGCAGAACAGTAAAACAAGAAACAAAGACAAACACCTTTGTGGCGTGGGTGTTTCACGGGAGGGGTCTGGAGCGAGCCTGCTGATCGTGTCCCCCGCGCCGGGGATCTGCGTCTTGCCTCTGTGCTATCTGTCTTTGTGCCGGCATTTCCGAGCCCGGGAGGTTATCGCGAATGCCAGGGTGTGAAATAAGCGCAGCGGACAGGATTTAAAGGCTGAGACTAACCTTTCTAATCCATCTCTTCCCCGTCCTGTGCCCTGGGCCATGCCTCTTCTGCAAGAATAGACCACATTCTTGCACTGTGATGGGAGCTGCAATAATTTCCTGAATGTCAGTCAAAGCCTCTCTCCTCGAGGAGTTGGGGGAATTCAGGTTCCTTCTTCACCAGAAGGAAAAGGAGCTATAAAGACTTTTCAGAATAAGATGAGTGTTGGTATTTTTGCCATATGTGCTTAACTTTTTCACTTCTTTCGTAGTTCAGAAATATAATTTATAGTCCCTTAGTCCTTCTGATCTCATTTAAAATTAGATTAAAGTTAATTCTGAATATAAATATATACTTAGAGATACATTAATTTATTGATAATTTATTATATATACTCACCAATAGTAAGTGAAAGCTATGTGTTGGACGTTGTCCTAAGCGCTGAGGATACAAAATAGATCAAGTCCCTATTCCTCTGGATCTTACATTCTTTGAGTGGAGAAAGAAAAAATAGTCACAGAGACAAATATATTCTGTGTCCAGAGGTGGTTAGTGCTATGAAAAGGGATAAAGCGGAGTAAGGAGATAGGGGTTGAGGAGCGCCGGACAGTGGGGCACTGTTTTGCACAGGATGGTCAGAGAGGGCCTCTCAGATAAGATGATATTGGAGCAGAGGTCTGAAGGACACGGGGTGTGGGCTGAGCCACACTGGCATCCCCAGGAAGAGTGACCCAGGCAAAGAAAGCAGCTGGTTGTAAACACTAGGGTCCTCAGTGTATTCAAAGAACCTTTTATGTTACAGTGAAGAATTTGGATTTTTTTTTTCAATGAGATAAAAACCCATTGGAGAGTTATTGTTGTTGTTTTTTTAATTTTTTTCTTTTTATTATTGATATTAGAGAGAGAGGAAGGGAGAGGGAGAGAGAGATGAAAACATCTATTGATTGGCCACCTCCTGCATGCCCCTCACTGGGGATCAGGCCCGCAACCTGGGCATGTGCCCTGACCAGGAATTGAACCAAAGACCTCTTGGTGCATGGGTCGATGCTCAACCACTGAGCCACACCGACCGGGCTCACTGGAGAGTTTTAAGTAAAGGAGTGACAAAATTTTATATATGTTTTTGAAGGACTAATTTGACTGATATTATTAAAAACAGCATGAGGGGAAAGAAGAAAGTTCAGTAGTTAGGAGGGTATTATATTACGTCTAGGAAGACGTGGATTGGACTAGAGTGATACTGATGGAAGTAGTACTGAACGGTGACTAGCTTCTGGAACTATTTTGAACATAGAGTCAACAGGAGTGGCTGGTGGATCAGATGAGAGACATGAGGAAAACAAGAAGAGTCCAGAATGACTCTGGAGTTGTAGCCTAAGTAACTGAGAGTTGCTGTTTGCGGAGATGGTAAGATTGGGATAGGAGCAGCTTTGGTGGTTGGTGGAGAGGATCAGAGTTCAGTATGGGGCACGTTCAGTTTGAGCTGCCTGTTAGACATTCAGGTGGTGATATGGTATATGCAGTTGGGTATAATAGTCTGGAGTTCAAGGGTAAGGCTGGGGCTGAAGAAACAAATGGGTATAATGGGCAGATGCATGGTTTTAAAGCCATGGGATCACACATATGACCCGCAGAGTGAATGGGGAGAGGAAAGGAGATCTGGGAACAGCTCTGGGCATCTGCAAGCTTACAGGCTGGGAAGGAGATGGAGGGAGCGGTCAGTAAAGTACATGAAACCCACAGACGAGCACTGTGCCAAAAGTGAGGGAAGAAATGTTCCAGAAGGAGACTGATCGACTTTGCCAACTGCCGCTGGCAAATTAATTATTGAGAAATGGTTATTGATTTGGCCATTGGATTGAGAGGTCACCAGTGACCTTGACCAAGAGCATTTTTAGAGGGACCGTTTGAACATAACTCAACAGGGATGGGTTCAAGAGAGAACATGGTAGAGCAAATAGCTGTGTTTTATATGGACAACTTTCCTGAGGAACTCTGTTATGAAAGGGAGCATGGAGGGAGCTGTGGGCCCAAGGGAGGGGATTTTTGTTTCTTAAGATAAAGCTATAATGATGTATTTGTATGCTGACGGGGAATCGCTAGCCAGTAGAAAGAGCAGATAATGGTGCAGCTGCAGGCTGGAGGGTCTGGGATGCAGTGCACGGTGGAGTGATGAAGAACGCAACACGAGCTGATGCAGATCTGGGGGCGTGATTGGTGGATCTGGCCTTTGGAAGATCACGAGGTTGGAGCAAGAAGAGGGTGAAGGAGAGAGGTGCCTGTGAGAAGGAGCAGAACGGGAATGAATGGACCACATCAGTGTTTCCCATGCTGCCCTGGGCCTTAGAACCACCGGGGGGCTTGTTAGAACACCAGTTACTGGACCTCCCCCTGAAAGTTTCTGAAGCAGTTAGGTCTGGAGAGGCACCCAAGGATTTGCAGTTTCCACAAGTTCCCAGTTGATGCTGCTGGTCCAGAGACCTTGGGACGCACTGGGCCTGGGCAATGGGAAAGGAGGTAAGATGTCGGGAGCAGCGCTAAGGCCTCCCTGTGACTGCCAGTCATTCATGTAAAGTGAATTCAGTCAGAGAGTGTGGGTTTCCTTCCAGCCCTGTTCAGCAGCTCAAGTGTTGGCTAACGGAGTGACAAAGTTGGAGTTAAGCAGAAAAAAATGAAGAATTGATATCACCAGTACACTGGGGAAGTTTTACTTCTCTGATGTCTGTGCTATGAAGATGCTATTTCTTCATCTTTCATTTGAAATAGAAAGGATTAGAGAATCAGATTGAGAACAGATAAAGGAAGGTTTGTGGTTGAAATTTATATTGTTGGACTTAGGAGTAAAATGAAACAATATCTACCTCTGGTCTCACTTCACAAGGAGAAACATAAGCCCTTTTCCCTGACATACCTATTAACCATACTGTTAGAAATTCTGAAATAAACTTTGAAACTAAAATCTGTTTTAAAATGTTATGAGATTACATACAAGTGAATTTTAGACTATTATATTATTCTTTGCAAATGTTTATATCCTCCTACAAAAATAAGTTGTAAGTGCAGAGCCTTACACACAGGAAATGAGTATTGAACTGAGAACTCAGCCGTTAGAGCGAGGGCCACAGCTCATTAATCAGAATGGGAGGAAGAACTGACTCCCATAATAAGGAAGTCAGTTCTTTTTCCATAATGCAGACGTAGCATGGTAAGCAGCAATTTATTGATTGATTGATTGATTCATTCATTCATTTTAATTCTCACCTGAGGACATTTTTCTATTTATCTTCAGATAGAGTGGGAGGGAGAGAGGGAGAGAGAGAGAGAAACATCGACATGAGAGGGACACATCAATTGGTTGTCTTCTGCATGACCCCAACCAGGGCCAGGAATGAACTGTAACTAAGGTACCTGCCCTTGGCTGGAATCAAACCCACGACTCTTTGGTCTGCAGGCCGACACTCTAACTGCTGAGCCAAACCAGCCATGGCGTAAGCGGCTATTTAAATATAAGAATATATTTTCATATTAAGCAAGTATTAATTTTTAAGTAACTGATACTTTTCTTTTTATTGAAAACAGATTTTGTTGGAGCCAGGCGTGGTCCAGGATGTGTTAGCAGCTGGCAGTCACCTGCAGCTGTTGGAGCTTCTCAATTTATGTTCCCACTATCTCATCCAGGTATGTGAGTTTGCACCCTGCTGATATACAGTCACATCCCTTCCCTCTGAAGTTCTGCAATTATAGGCTGTACCCCAAAAACCAGCGCCCAGGGACAGATAAAATGGGAGCAGGGGATGTGGCCTGTGCGGCTCAAGCTGAGAGACTCCTAGGAGCCAGCTGCAGCTCTCCTGTCCCAGCTCGTGGCCCGCGCCCTCCCTGCACACCCCAGGTCCCCGACCCTTGGGCAGTAGAGTAACTCAGCAGCCAGGCACAGGGTTCACTGTCGTGGCAGAGAGATGCTGCTGGCAGATCTTGACTTGAAGCAGTGTCATGTGGTGTCCACAACAAAATAACCACAAATGCACAAAATGTTGGATAGTCCCTTAAGATTTCAGTAATAGAAGCTAATATATCACAGTCACATATAGTTAATGAGACATGAACTTCCCAGGCAATAAATGCTGGAGAATGATGAGTGATCTGTGCATTTTCCCCTGACGCTGGGGTGGTCAGGAAGGCTCTGTGAGGGGGAGGGAGAAGAAACCTACTGAGAGTTCACCGATGTATCACCTTCAGTCCTCAACCACTTTGCACATTTTTATAGGCAAAAAGTCAGAGATTCCAAATGCAGCCAGCTTGCCCAAGGTGACATGGCTGGTGAGTGGTACGCCTTGCTGATTCCAAAGACCATTTTTTCTTCTTGGATGAAACCCTTTGGCTTGGTAGGAAGAGAGGGGATTTCTTAGGCAGGTCGTATGGCCATGAGGCTCTTTATTTTATAAACTTAAGTACTAATTCCTTATATTGCGATCCTCCCACTTCCTCCCCTTGCATGAATTTTGCTTGCATTTATTACAGCATTATAACAATAGAGAAAATAAATTTTGAAAATGATAAATTCACACAATTTAATTCTACTATCCTTTGCATATGGCGAGATCAGTAAGTAGAAAAATTCTGTTTGTTTTCGGCTCAATTGTTTCCTTCCTAATTTTTTTCTCTAATTCTAAATATGGCCTTGACTGTTGACTTTTTTTACTCACTGGGTGGTTTCCAAATCTCTTTCTGCTCTATCATCTTATTTCGTCTTCTAGCAACCTTGGGAAATAGGAACGAGTGCTTCCCAGGGTGATGGTGTGAGGCATTCGCCATGTCCAAGTCAGGAGCAATTCAAATACAGAATATGAAAGTTTTATCGTCTCAGCACATTTAATCTAATAGTAAATGTTTAACTTTTTAAAAATCTTATTTTCCTTTCTTTTCCTCTCAATATTGTTGGGTGGTATGGGAGAGCTGTTTTAATCCCTTCCCACAAGTAGCAAATGGGGATAACACAGAAAGGTTACACGACTTCAAAGGTGTGTGTTTGACTTGTGAGATTGAAATTACTTTTATTTGACATTTCTACATCAAATACAGTACCTGAAGCTTTCAGCAGCATCCCCTGATTCACTTTTTCAGTGACGTGTGCTGACAAAAGTTTGATTATTGCTCCTTATCACGATGCATGTTAAAATGGTGTGCATGCACAGGTGTGTATGCGTACCTGTATTTATGGTTTTCTATAAATGAGAATTCCGGATATGAATGTTAGAAGTTCATGGACATTTTCTCCTGCCCCATCAGATGAATTTGTTGAAATACCAAGTGGCTGTGTACTTTGGCATTTGATTCTTGCAGCTCATTATTTCACTGAGGAAAACATGTAGCTAGCATACAGATATAGTGTGTGGACACTTCATTTATTACTAGCCTGCTTGAGCAGTGGTTGAAATTTTCACTCTTTTCACCAGTATGTTTTCTTCTCATGTATAAGTTTACTTTTCGATTTTATCTGATTGTGTAGAAGGAAACTTTGACTATAAAAGAACCAAAACCATGTGTGGGTAGAGACCTTCATTATGCTAGTGTTTTAAAAAACTTGTACCTTGCCTCTCCTTGGGGATTATACAATTACTGGACCAGGTTAGTCTGCTTTTATATTTTGACACAGTCTTATAACAATACCTATTTACATTTTTTGGTATTATTGCTCAACTTATTTTTGAATTTCATACAGAACCATTTTATTGGGTATAAAAATATTTTTTGTTAAAATGAAATATCTTCAGTGCTTAAAATGTACATAGCAATTGTGCCCCATTAAGCAAAGATAATATAGTCTCCATCCTTGTTTAGTACTTTGTCCAACTAGGAGTTAGTGAAGCCGTTGTCTTCACTAAAATGTCTGGTGGTGTTTTGTTGTTTTCAGATTATTATTATTTCTTTGGTTTTCCCCTTGAGGTGTGAAGGGTAGACCTCTGCTCTGACACCTCCTGTTGTCCTCTAGGGCTCATTAGAAAGCATGTTCAATGAGAACCCTTTGGTTGAAACTCAGTGAACCACTCCCCACCCCCAAGCCTCCCTGGGCCTCCCAGTCATCAGCCATTGCCTTGGTCTTGATGCTCTTCTACACATTCATGGATGATGCTCCCCCAGCAAAAGGAGGGGACACCTTGAGGCCACTATATGGACTCCTTTGTCTTGTGTGTCCTCTGGAAGGCTGCTGAGGACAAGGACCCCTGACTACAGAAGCAGATCCCCTCTGTCAGTGAGGACAGCCATTGAATTAGACCCCCGGGTTAGAAGGCCTTCACCTTGTTCATTTCTCGTCCCTAGGCCCTCTTCCAGGGCCCATCATTAACACACAGGTTCTCAGTGCAAGTTTGTGGAGTAAACGAGGAGATGGCGGTGGGGTGGGCAGTGGCTACAACAGCCCATCATCCCCAGGTAAGGGACTTGCAAACAACTCCTCAGGTTTGTATCCTTTCTCACCTACTTTGCAGTGAAATTTCATAGGACTGTCCTATAGAGACTGTGCTGTTAGAATATTAATAAGCACGACCTGTCAGACATGCGCCTGCCATCTGAGATCTAGTCTCAAAAAAACTGTGAAAGTTTTGTTCCTTTTCCTGCTTCTGCTCCTCCCCCTCGCCCACTGTGCCCTTTTTAAAAATTTCATCAGAAAGATGCACCAATTCATTCAACAGCGATTATTGTCTTTAAAATGGGTCCAGTAAAATGCATGGATTACCTTGCTCTTCAGACTTCATGTTTTGTATATGCCACTCACTGTCTTAGATCTTATGAAGGAAGCTCTGCAAACTATCTCGGGAGTGATGGGCTACAGGTGTAGTGGTTTCAGTGTGTCCTGCGTTTACTGAATCCCTCAGATTAACATTACAAACTTTTCGAATCCAGATTGTTTCCCAAACTGATTTTTTCCCCTAGCCTGTTAAAAAATTAGCTACTGAACCTAAATATCACACAGGAGAGTCAAAATTAACATGAGAAAACCTGCCCTTTTCTCCACTGATGGTCCCATCGATCCACTAGTTGTCTAGAAATGTGGACATAGTGTTAGGCTCCTCTGTCACCACCATATCCAATCTGTTACCAAGTTGGGTTGATTCCACCTCCCAACATCTCTCAGACCTGATCCTTTTCTCCATTGCAAATGTTCTTCCCTTTTAGACTCTCACCACTACTGTTGGTCATGATGAGTTCATGATTGCCTCCCAGGGGGTCTGCTTGTTTTAGCCTCTGTGCATGCCAGCCCGTACCCCAAAGCCATCATTATCCTTCCCAGGGAGGGGAACCGACGTCCAGGAGGGCCTGTTCATACTGAGTGGTTTGCACAAGGTCCTCGTTTTTCTTCTGCCAGGAAATCCTTTAAGGCAGGTCAGTGTTTCCTTTTTACAGGTGGAGAAACTGAAATTCAGGACTAGGGTGTCGATCCACTAGCTCCCCTGGCACCATTCAGACTCATCACGTCACCCACACACATCTCTGGCCTCCCCTCCAAGGCCGGGCCTGTTTCCAGCACCAGTGCCTTCCCTGGCCTGCTGAGTTCTGGGCCCCAAGTCTTCCGTTCATGTTGACACTTGCCACTGGGGGAGAAGACTGGGTAGTGGAGATCCTGCATGGCAGAGCCTTTTAGTCATCTCCTTTAGATTGTACCCCGGGGCGGGAGTAGGGGAAACGTCACACTCACACACACACACACACACACACACACACACACTGTGCTAAGATCAGGGGTATTGACCACTGCGCATGGTGCTGTAAACCCTGAAAGTGATGCATTAGGAGACACATAATTTGCTGAAAATATCTTTTTTTTTTTAGTAAAAAAAGTTTGTACATTTTATACCACTTCCCCTAAATAGCAAATAGTATATTATATTGTTTGATTACCAAGTGTTCTATTTTTGTTCAGCAAATATCAGCCTTCATTTAAGTATATTTAAATATATTGACTTTTTAAAAAGGACCCATCGAGAAGACTTTCCAATAAGACCACCGAAGTGATGAATCAATGAACTTCTGATAGGAATATACTTCTAGTATCTATTCCTAGGCAGCAGGTGGCAGTGTGAATCCACCAGATTTCAGTAGTTAATTTAAAGCAAAAATCAGAAAAAATGAAAAGAAAAATTATTTATTTTGCTACATATTAGTCTTCTGACCTAATCAGTAAAAAAGTCATTATTCACACCACACTGGGCAATATGCATTGTAATTTTTAACAAATAATAGGAAACTGTTAATGTGTTCACAGGAAATACAGTTTTGTCTTGGGCTACTGTGGTCATTTATCACTGCACTTTGTGAAATCACTCATTTGTTCTAATTTGAATGTAAATGACTCTAAGGTTTTACAAATAAGGTGACAGACTCACATAAATGTAATTGCAGGGTTCATCTCCCTCTTTTTATATATCACTCATTAGGTTATGAATTAAATACATCATATTAAACCAGGGGCATGTCCAATGATGATATTGTAATGGCAAATTACTCTATGCTATTAGAGGTGTATTTTTTATTCATGGACATTAATTTGTCATTAAGCGGCATTAGTTTAGCACTTTTATGTGAAAGACGTGACCTGAAAGAGGAGCCGTGCTGGGATGTGAGAGGACAGAGACCCAAGTGCTCTAGGCAGACGGTTTATCACCACAAGGAAAACAGAAGGG